CGTGAAGCTGCGGGCCACCTACGAGGACAACGAGGCTGTTCACTTGGTCATGGAGCTGTGCGAGGGAGGGGAGCTTTTCGACAGGATAGTGGCGCGTGGACACTACAGCGAGAGGGCCGCAGCGGCAGTGGCGAAGACGGTGGCGGAGGTGGTGAGGATGTGTCACCATAACGGGGTTATGCATCGTGACTTGAAGCCGGAGAATTTCTTGTTTGCGAACAAGAAGGAGAATTCGGCTCTCAAAGCGATTGATTTTGGGCTCTCAGTGTTTTTCAAGCCTGGTGAGTGGAATTTGTTCGTTGGGATTTGGATTGTAAAGTTATTTGTTAATCCTTGTTCTTGGTTAGTATTTTTACTGTATCCCTTTATCTTCTTGCTGGTTCTGTTTGCCTTTTTTGAGCTGGAAATTGGTTATCTTCAATGTCCTTCATAGTCGATTATAGTCCAGCTTTTCTTCTTTTTCTTTGAACTCAACTTTTTAGATAGTTTTTTAGTTATGTTTTGGGTGTGAGGTTATTTATGATTGACATTTGACCAATCAAAATACATTTTCTAATTAGGTGAAAGGTTTTCTGAGATCGTGGGGAGTCCTTACTATATGGCACCGGAAGTTCTGAAAAGAAACTATGGACCTGAAGTCGACATTTGGAGCGCCGGTGTGATTCTTTATATTTTGTTATGTGGGGTTCCTCCCTTCTGGGCTGGTAAATTACTTTGATTTTACCTTTGCTTCTTGAATTGTATCTCATTGGTATTTCACAATTTCATTAAAACGGGTTAATGTTCCATTGCAATGTGCTTCAGAAACCGAGCAAGGCGTTGCTCTAGCAATTTTAAGGGGAGCAATTGATTTCAAGAGGGAACCATGGCCTCAAGTTTCAGATAGTGCAAAAAGTCTCGTTAGGCAGATGTTAGAGCCCGATCCCAAAAGGCGTTTGACAGCCCAGCAAGTGCTCGGTGAGGTTTCCTTTATTTTTATGTACTCTGTAAAGTATTGATTAAAATTTAAAAGTATATTTCTGCATGTGACTACTTTTTCTTACAAAATGATGATGGGCAACAAGCAGAGGATAGAAAAGGATGCCTCAAGGCATGCAAACTTGCAAAGTTCTTGCACTTTTGCAATATTGTAGCTTTAGACTTTTTGACATTTGGAATGTTTGCACAAAGCTCCATTCAAATGCTGATTTTAGGTATAAGAACACAGATAATAAGTTTTCAGATCTTGATTGAGTTTTGGTGGTGTTGGAGGATCCGATATGTGTGTCTTATTGAAGATGAAGTTTTTATGGTATGGTTTTTTGAGAAACAGCAGAAAAATGCCTTGAGACGATGGCAAAGAGTGTGTATGGCGTGGGGCCACACACTATACCATATGCTTTTGCTTCCAAAAAATGCCGGGAGGCGTAAGGTGTAATTATAAAATAAAGGTCTAACTAGTATGTTATTTACACATCTAAAAAGTAAAAGCTAAAACATGTCTATTGGACTTCTAAAAGATTTGAGTTGACAAATGATGCTGTAATCAATAAACCTAGGTAGAAATCATCAGATCAGAATTGCGAAATAACTTTCGCTTTGTTAATTTTAGGTATCATTTCATTTCTTTTCTTTGTTTTCTCCATTCTCGTTTTTGTTTTTACAAATCTGCTTAAACTCTGGATTTTCAATGAACTGTGAGTTTATGGATTGCTATGTGTGTTCTTTGGGTAATGGCAACCCATTTGGGTACTTCTTCTTGTTTTTCTAAAACAATAATATGAGAACCATTTGAGCATACACGCAAGACATTTGGTGCCTTTAAAACACTAAGCAGTTGAAAATAATTAATTAAACTACATCCTTCTTTGATAAATGACAGTACACTATGAATGAAAGTTAAGTTGTGATCTTTCTTAAACAAGTTTATTGATACAGCAGCCATAACGTGTTTTCTCCATTCCTCTTTTAGATCACCCGTGGATACAAAATGCAAAGAAGGCATCGAATGTTCCCCTTGGAGATATTGTGAGGGCCCGACTCAAGCAGTTTTCTGTTATGAATAGATTCAAAAAGAAAGCACTACGGGTAAGCATCTCGTAACTTTTGTTCTATATTTTCTCTGAATTTATCGTTAGGATCCCCTGCCAGTATACTTAAA